CTTGTTTGAGAATACTAAAATAATGATTAATACTAAAAAAATGATTTGGTTAACAGTCCTAATGACAAACTGTGGTTTTTTTTTTTTTGCTCACAGAACCAAGTGCAGAGCAGACAGTAACACAGAAACTCTCTAATACACCATTAGCCCAACATATATTTCAAATTTACCCTTCCTTTAAAAAGTGGTAAGAGCTATGAAATTGATACAGTTTCCGGATTCTCTGCTCAAACTGTCACAGGAGAAACTAGAAGAGATCTGCTCCTGCCTGAAAGTTTGCAGTAGCTGGGAACATAAGAAAGAATCATAGAATCACAGAACGGTTTGGGTTGGAAGGGGCCTTAAAGATCATCTAGTTCCAACCCCCTGCCATGGGCAGGGACACCCTCCACTAGACCAGCTCTATTAGAACCGCTACTAGAAGTGAGAAACATCCCAGGTAGCTGAGTTCAGACACAGCAGTAAGCTATATGATTATTTTCCTCACTGTTTTAAAAATAAGGGTAGGATAGCAGGGAGACTTCAGGATGCCTTGAAATTCCAGGCAATTCATTTAACAGCTGCAGGACAGATGTGAGAAAACAAGTAGGAGGGCTGGAAAGCTGGGCACTGGTGGTTGATTTGCACCTGATTGCAGCTCATTGCCCCTCACAGCCTGAGAGCTGAGTGGCAGGCAGCAACAGGTCTACCTTATAAAGCTGATTTTCCAACTATGAGCCCTCTGCTCATTAGAGTACCAAAGTTTGTTCAGCTGGTCCTCCTCAGAGGAATAGCTAAAATAGCTTTTGTCATCCTGTGCTAGCTCTACCAGAGAGGAATAGGAAGGTATTTTTCCATATGCTGTTGTAAGTATAAGGTCTTGGACCGGTTTGTTTTATGGGGAGTTGCAAGCAATATTTTAAAAGGTGTTGTAGTTAAAAAGACTAATATTCTTTAATGGAGGGTTACTTATACCTGCTTGAAGGCTCTTGTGCACTTAGAGAACATACTTAAATCTAACTGCAATGTTTTTAAGTTTGGTTGTTGGGTTTTTTTGGTTTGTTTGTTTGTTTTGAAAAAAAATATATGCTGTATTTGTAATGTAGGAGACTGCTTCAACTTCCTGGCATTTATTTTTAAGGAGTAAATCTTTTAAATCAGCCATAATAATAAAAAGCATTCTCTTCTCCAAAATTATTCTGACATTCTTACTATTGTTTGTTGGGGTTTTTTTTTAAGTAATCCCATGGCTAAGGACATGTTCATTAAGGTAAATGTCACTACTTACAGAAACAATGGCTGAAAAATAAACTTGGAGCTCTTGACTCTGCATATATCAAACTAAGTTGCTGGCATGCAAGAAGCTTGTAATAAACCAATTTAAGTAAAACATTGAGTATTTATCTCTTGCAATCTAGAATAATAAAAACTTATATGTGATTTTTCTCTTTGTTTCACAAGATTATACAAGTGGTAACTCTTGTGTTAAATGCTAGTGAAACACATTGCTGTTTTTTGAGAAAATAACTATTTTTTATTTTTTTCTACCAAAGAGAAAAGCAGGGAGCTAACTTCTTGGGAAGGTTGCTTCATTTTGTTTCTTGATGCACAGTTTGAGTAAAAAGACACAGTTCAGTGAAGTCTATATCCTTCTAGGGTCAAGTTGGTATTTGTATTATGCAGGGGGAAATCCCTTCAGGGTCAAGAAGTCTGGCGTTCTACCCCTGTGGCAACGGTGTCAGTCCCTTTCACATGCACACACCACCTTGTTAGCTCTAGTTATAAAGCTGTTGTTTAATTTTCCACTGCCCCTAACAGAAGTGAGATCTGGAATGGTACTATTCTGATAGGCTGGTTATGAGTAAAACCCAGTCTTGGAGGATCCTGAGGACTGTTGTTAGTGGTCATGCGGGTTATGCAGTTAACATACACAGGACTCTCACTTCAAAGCCAGTGTTGGGGTTTGTGTGTGGTTTGGTTTTTTGGTTTTTAACATTGTATATAATCTTCTGGAGAGAAGCAATACAGTGTATTTTGAGCTGAGGAGTTGAAAGTGATAGAGTGGTGGAAGGCAGGTATATAGCTGCAATATTGGGTGCAAAACATCAGATTCTTGGGAGCTTCAGGTAGCTTTATCTGGTGCATTATTTTTTTTTTTTAAAATTATGTATCTCTTCTAATGATCTAAATGTCATAGCTAAGTTCCGTTAGTATTGCTTGTTTCCCTCTTGTTTCTTTCCAATGGCAATTCAGTCAACCTGTTGCTGGCTGTCAGAGGGCTCTGTTCCAGTCTGATCACGTTCGCTTTGTTACACTGGCTGGTGGATGGTGTTTCTCAGTGCTGATGTTTCAGCAGATGCTCTTTTTGGCGGTGAGGAACTGTGAGTGAAGCCCACAGTGGGGCAGTGTCAGATGAAAGCTCCCAACTACTTGGTTCAGAGGAGAAGGTTGCAAATAGCAAGGTAGAGACAGGTATCTCGCTTGAAATGGGGTTTTATGCTCTCAAAATGCTCCTTTTGTGCCTTGGTAGCACACACATGCTTATCTTACTGGAAACAACTCTTAAAATATTGTCTGGGAGAATAGATAATAAAACTACAAGTAGAACTGAAGTGCCTCTGTAGGATACGTTTTTTGGGTAATTCTCTATATGGTAGTGTGACAGCTGTAGTTGTGGCTAATTAGTATAAGAAACAACTGGGGTTTGGTTTTTTGTTCTTCTAGGCTCACTGAAATGCTGAAAATCTTGTTGCACTCACTTTTCCCACCTTCCCATGTCCCCCCAAGCCAGTACCCACAAAGAGAAAATCCAGAAAGACAGACTAATATTTTTTTTGAAAGTAAACTTCATTTAAATCTTGGCTTCTGAAACCTGTCAAGATATTATCAAGAAAGCTGCAGACTCAGAATACTTCAACTGACTTGTGTACCTGTAGCTGCAGGGGTTGACTGGGAGGCCATTGAAAGAGATCAAAAACCTGATAATGTTTATAGCTGTAGGAGATACCTTCAGTAAACAGCTGGACAGTGGTTGCTGCTAGACCTGAGCAAAAAGCCATGGAACCAGGGGAAGTACACGTCACAAATGTGATCAGAAGTAATAGGTACAAAATCTGTGTGAGGTTTTTATTTCTTCTTAATGAATGCTTTTTATATTAAAAAAAATTACTTAATCCGGGATAAATTGTTCTGAGTAATAATGCTTAGTGCTTCCTTTAAAAAGATAGTCAGCTACTAGGTTGCAGGAAGTTCTTCAGTTCTCATTTTTGGTTCCCCTCCCCCAGTCCTTGCCATGGTTATTGTATTTAAGAATAAGCAGTGAGATTTCAGAAAGTATTTCTTTCTTTCTTCCCCACCTTTTCCAAATCAACATTGCTTCTAGTTCCCTGGAGAACTAAACATCGTGACTGAAGGTTTCTGTCACAGCTGGTATGTGGACCAAGGATTTTCAAATCACTTGATACTGAAGCTTTGAGTTGTCTGCTGAAAGGAAAAAATGACGTGAAGAATATATGTATGTTGATCATCCTGACTCTTATATCTTGTCCCTATTCTTTCCAGATACTTGGCAAAAGAGACAAATTGATAATGTCTTCAGAACATGAAGCTAACAAACGGCATCATAACCCAGTGGACAGTATATGCAGAAAGATCAGATCTATCCAAATGATGGACCAAGTCTCTAACCCTGCTTTGCAGATACCAAAATTTCAGTCCAGGAACTTTGACAGTCCACAGTGCAATATCAAAAAAAATCTAGAAGAAATACTGAAGAAAAGAACTTTTAGAAGTCATGATAGTAGTGATTCACACTTAATCAGTCCCAGCAATAACAGTGTTTTCTCAGCAGACTCGCAGTTGCTGTCGCCTTGTCTCAGGCGTGTCTCTGATTCCTGTTCTGCAAATGCTACCTATTCAATCATTAAAAGTGAAGACAGATCCAGCGACTCATGGATGCCAGTATGCCCCGTGGAGAGCTGTTCTCCATCCTACTTCAGATCCAGAGAGGCTAATACCCAGGACAAACTGTGTGCTTTATCAAATATCAAATCTAAAGATGTCCTTTGTCAACAGAGGTGTCTTACGTCAAGTCCAAATTTATATTTCTTTGCATCAGATAAGAAGTCAGAAAGTGCTGTCATTCAATCTCCTGTGCCAAAGAGATTATCTTTGAGTGAAAGAGGTAAAAAATCCTGGAAAAACACCACCCTCCCAATTCAAAATCCTAGACATCTGAACATTCAGCCTACATAGATGACATTTATTTACTACTTAAGCTAGTAACAATATGTTTTAGAATCGCTCAAATTCAGTAAGCCTGCAAAAAGAGCTGAGTAAAATCTTATTTTTTCTTTAAAAATATTAATGTGAATGTAAAAAGTGAGGAAGTAATAAGTCACATCAAAAACTTTTTCAAACTTGCCAATTCCTTTTTGTGGATAAGAGATTTGGCTTTTAATTTAGTCTGCCCTTAACAAAAAAAGGCATATGAGTTCGAGTGTGACTTTTTCTGTGTAGTTGTTTGGTTTGGTTTTATTTTAAGGATTGTTTTCTAAATAGCTTAATCTGACCATGATGATTTCTCTACAGTGTATCTGGAAGGGAGGGAAAAAATAGCTCACCTCTTAAAATGTTGTGGTTTATATTTTTACTTCATGAAAAAGAATAGCCAGAGTTGCCAAAAACACGTGTGTAGAAGTAGATGCATAAACCAGTTCCCAGCTCAGAGGCAGCAGCTATGAACAGTTTCTGGTGTTATTTGGCAGTAAAAGCTCTGGTTTTATTGGGAGGAGGGGGGAAGCAAGCTGCTTGGTTGGTTCTAGTTTTTTAAATAATCTTAAAATAAATTTTAAAAGCTTCATTCAAGCTGTAGTATGCTATGTGTGCTCATGCTATTACAACCATAATATTGTAGTTAGAAGCTGTGGTGCAGGACAGTTACTATGAGCAAATAAAGATGGACACTAACAAGCTTATTCTCCATAGGATGGAAGCAGTCAGTGGGGTACAAAGCTGACAACATGTATGATGTGAGCTTGATCTGTGAAGAAGACCTACTGACCACTATCTTCTATGCATGTGACATAGAACATACAGGTTTGCCGGTGGCTTTTCCTTGCTCTGTTTTATTCTCCTCTCAACAAATTTTCAAGGCTGAAATCATGTTATGACTCCTGAGCCATGCCTATCTGTGTTACGCTTAGACTGGCTAGCTCCCTTAGCTAGGTGGCTGCATGTGTGGCAGATGCAGAATAAATGTCTGTGCCTCTTCTGTGTGATGCCTCTCTCTTCTCTCCTCCTTCCCCTTCCAGCTGATTTTTGCTGTATTTTAGTGCAGAGGAAGTGGAGGAGCAACAGGCTTCTAGCAATCAACCTTATTGAAAATGACTGTTCATTTCTTTTAGGCTTTTTCCTGTTAGAAAAGAAAACTTTGGGAAACTTCAGAGCAAGAGACAATTCCTCTGAATTCCACCTCAAATGTGACTAAAAGTGGTAGAGAAAGGAGCTGTCTAGCAGATTAAGATAATGTCAGTCACAGGGCTTGCCCAATTTGATGAGAGACCTGAAAGTAGTAGCACAGCAAATGTGTTGAGTTTATTGTTTTTAAACTGAAGCCCACAAAACTAGTAAACTGGACTTTGCTTCTGTATTAGAAAAAACAAACAAAAGTACTAAACTATTCCTCTCCAGGTCACACTAGAACTGCAGGAGTCAGTTGCTTGTCTACAGCTCTCAAAGGCAATTCCGTACGCACTAGTGCAGATCAGTAGCGTGTCCTTTTACAGCTTTTTATAACGGCCTACTAGACTCCAGAGGCTGGTGCGTGGACGCCTGTATCTTTTTTAGGAAAAGTAGCAGTTTCCAAGATAGTCGATTATTTGAGACATACAACTAGTCGGGGATCAGAAGATAGCGGTCTTGAAGAGCTGTGCAACATGCTTGACCCGGATCAGAAAGATGTCTCCATGGACCTGGAAACATATCATGCCATCATGAAAGAGTGGATTGAAGACTGTAAGAGAAAATGGTAATAGCTTTTTATCAATTTATCTCATAAAAGCTTCTGTAAAAACAGGAGAGTAGAAAGTTCTCCTGTGGGTTTCTCCTTCCGTGCTCTGGAACAAAGATAGTATTGGGACATTGTGACCACAGTGTGGGTTTTGCTTGAAAGCTTTTAAATGTTACAAAGTTGGTGAGCGATCTAATGTCGTGTTGATTTTGTGAGTCTTGATGCTTCCTTGCTTCAGGGAAGATGGTGCCACAGAGGAACCAATAGCAAGCATGGAAGACCTGGAATTTAAAGTGCATAGAAACACCTCTGAAGGTACAGACCGTTTTATTCTGTTCTTATTCAGGAAAACTAAGCTTTCTTACTCTATAACAAAAAACCCCACCTCTTTCAGCAAAAAAGATACATGTCCAGATGAATGTTACATCAGGAAGCTTGGAAGCCTTTGGGGGTGATGTGTCTAAAGGAGACATGTAAGTCCATTTAAGCAATTCTTTCTCAGAATTTAGTACTCCTAGCTTTGAATTACTTGAGAGCAATTCCTAGAACCACTGTTTCAGAAAACTGTCTTGGTAGAATTTCTAATACTGACCTCAGTCTGCACTAGCTCTCGATGCTATCGTGTTCTTCCTCACAGCTTCTGCTCAGACTTAAAAAGACTAGTAATTTTTCCTACTGATATCTTGGTCCTTTCTGCATCCATTTGCCCTTTTAATTCCTGGTGGTCAGAGTTTTGCCATATGTTTCTTTTCCTTTTTAAACCGGTTCTTTCCATCCCCCAAGTTCTTAGGTGTACGTATCTCCTGGAAATCTGGTCCTTAGTTTTGTTTGGGTTTTTTATTTGTTTATAGTCATGACTCTGACCTGGATTCTATTAATAACAAAGCACTTAAACACCAGAAATTTCAAAGATAACTTTTGCATTTTATGCATAGTCAAAAATCTTAAGATCTGCTTTCTGATGCTTCCCTGTCATTTTTCAGGATCTCAAAAGGGTGATCCTTGTTCAAGTTTCAGTTGAAAGCATAAGTGGGGGATGGTTTAGGTGAAAAGAAAGGATCCAGAAATTGTGGAGTTAGATTAGCAAAGGCTTAAGATACTGTCATGCAGATACCCAGATGTGACACTTGTCTGGTGGCATACTTCAATTACAGGGACCATTTAAAAAAGTTCCTAAAAACAAAGCAGTTCCTGGTGTTCATAGAATTGGAGAACTGATCTGATATCTCTGTGCAGAGCAAATGACTGTACACTGCAGAATTACAAGCCCTCTACGGGGTCTCCTCTCGCCTCTTTAATCGGTGCAGTACAGCATCAGGATTTCAAAAAAAGTCTAGACCAAATTCCCTTTCTCCATCTTTCCTGGTTTTGTTACTGGAACAGGGAGACTTCTGACTTGATAACCTGTGTTGCGGACCTGCAGTACAACAACCAGAAGCTTCAGGAAGAGAACAACAAGCTGAAGCTCGCACTAGAAGCTGTGGATGAGACCAACAATAAGCTATTGGCCGATAATGAGGATCTACGTCAACAAATAAAAAGGTGGGAGACCCTGATGGCACCAGATCTAGTGTAACAGTCATGGGCAGACCTATGTTTTTCCAAGTGGCCTAGCCTTGCTTTATGCTTTTAGCCTCTCTGGTGCTTCATGACAACAACTTTCTTGACTTAATGTAGTACCTGTAAGGTTTAACCCTCTCGCCTGATTGTTCTGCTCTGTACCTCCTGGTTCTTATAAAATCACTCATTCATCTTATAGCCTGGCTCTTGCAGCATAAGGTGCTGCGGGTGCACACAGGCAAAAACCTAGGGTAAAGCAAAATCGAACAAAACAAATCACGGGGGCGGGGGTGGGGGGGAAGGCTTAATATTACCAATAGAACAATCCAGCACTGGAAGGCTTCCAATCCTAGACCACACACTTGCTGCCAAGTGGGGAAATGAGCATGTGAGAGCTATTTTACTAGTCCCTTGGGGAACTAAAGTGAGCTGTCTCACGAGCTTAGTATTGCTGTAGCCTGGGGACCCTTCAATGCTACAAGTATGAATCTAGTTTTGCAGTGAGTTCACAATGCTCATCTGACCCAATTTATTTGAATGTAATATAGTTAAGTCAACTGACAAACCATTCCCAGTATCTTCTGGGGAGATCAGGGCAAGAGTCCTGCAGCATAGCTTGTATAGGACGTGGTGCCCTCATGTTGGATCTGCGGTGCTCTGCAGCCTAGAGCTAGCCAAAAAAAGGGCCTTGCCCCACTGGTTAAATATCCATTGTCTGGGGTATCAGATCAGGATAAGAAAATGATGTAGCGCTTATCCTTAAACTGAGTTTTTTTCTGTAACTGCTAACAATGAAGCATTGTAAAGATGAGTTTATGTGCTCAGGTAACCTGATATGTTTGACTGTAACAAGGTACATCAGGTAGATGCAAATAAAAGCATGCTGTCTTGGATGCTATGTTTGTCTGGGGTTTCATCCCTTACTGTGAGAGCAGAAGGAGGTCATAGAGGGTAAGGCCATGAGCCTTTACTTACTAGACAAAAATAATGGACTTAAACTTGATTGTTGCTCTTCTGTTAAGTATCTCTGCCAAAGAATAAGTCCCTGGTGGCTTCTAAAAATACTGTTCTTGGTATTTCAAGCCTATCTAATGACCAACAGCAACTTGCTAAAGTTTATCTGGATTTTCTCCCTGCCTCCCCTCCCCCGCCCCCCCCAGCATCCAGCATTCTGTGCTGAAAGCCAAATCACTGGGAGAAGAACTAGAAGAAGCAAAAACCAACCTGAACCTGTCAGAAGAGAAGAGACAGCAGATTCTCTGCCAGAATAAACAGCTAGTAGGTGCTCTTACTTCTTAGTTTGCGTTGTACAGCATCTCATACCTTGCTGTAACAATGACATGACTGCTCAGACTGGAAAGATTAGCAGTATGACCTTCTCTGCACCAGTAGGTACTGAGGCTTTTTGAGAATGTTTGAAATGTGATTTATTAGCATTATGAAAACACTGAAGTTTTTGCATGGAAATTTCTTTAAACTATTGTAAGCTTACGATGAAGAAAACAATTAAAAAGGCTGGTCTCACATGTAGTTATGCTTAAAGACAACAGTTCTTGTGCTGCCATCATGAAGCCCTATCTGTTCTGAAGTTGGTGATGTTCTGTCAGAAATTCATAAAACTTTTCTAGAACCAGCAGAAACAGGAGACTTGGTTCAGATGTCTGCACAAAAGAGTCATTTTCCAAAACACCCCTAGGTTATTGTCAAGGCCCATATATATGGGCTGGCAGATATGACAAGGGCCTGTCAGAAACCTGTCCGTTCTGGACTGACAGCTGGAAGTCAGGCAGCACGCCTTGGTGTGCCTCAAAGGGCAGGATCTGCCTACATAAGAGCATCTGAATTGCACTCCAGGTGTCGGAGTAGCAAAGCCCGTGTGACTGTTAGAGGTGCAAAGCAGCCTGGTAAGAAGGCTGATGTGGCTGCAGCTTTTGCAGGTGCAGCCAGACACCAGAGCGCAGGCTCTCTGGAGAACGTGTATTTGTGGTGTTGCCATGAGTGCTGTTCACACTGCAGTACTATCTCTCTGTCTTGCTGTGTGGGTGTAGCTGTAAAGTGGTATTCCACAGCTCTGTGCACTGCTGATGGTGGGTATTCAGGAATCAAAAAAAGTCTTTATGCCAAGCAAGAACACAAGATTTTTTTTGTGTGTGCTGTCCTGCTGCAGCATGTGTATATTCTTGTTTTGCTTTAATTTGAGATTACATGCATAATTCACCTTGTGAGAAGAAGGTGAGATGTGAGAGGGAAATATATTATTAGAACTTTAGTACTTGTTCTTATAAGTCCCTTAGTTACTGTACCCTGTGCAGTGGAGGCTCTGAGTGGGATACTACTACCTTTCTTCATGTCTGATGTGAAAAAAGTGTAGTGTGGCACACAAGCTTTCCAGATTTGTCTTAATTCAAGCATGAGCACAACTAGACTTGCTCACTCTGGCCTCAAAAACCCCCTTCCCAGCACCTAGTGTTCTGAGATTTACTCTGATTGGAAATGTCTGTGTCAAATCCTTCAGAGAGGGTTCATGAGCTGGACCAGCCTCAGCACTCCCCATTTTGCATTCCTTTGCTTTAGAGCACAGCAACACCACAGCTTCATGTTGGGCTCTGGACATGTTTGTGATCTGTTGGTTTTTGGCTTAGTTTGGCTTTGAATGTTGAACTTGACATGATAAAAGCAACCATTTTGTTTTTCTCTTTCTCTCTTTTCTTAATAAACCTGATCAGGAAAAAGAAAATCAGTCTCTCATCATCAAAATTACTTCTCTCCAGGAAGAGGTAAAATAAATCATGACTTTGCAAGTGCATGTTCTTGTCTAGCTAAAAGCCACCATTAAGAAATGAAATGTTTGTCAGACTTTGAAGCCTGACTTGCTAATTAGGTTATCAAAATATCTTACATTTTGCAAGGATGACTTATAAAGCTTTATATCTTGAAGTTGCACTGTGCTTCAAACTTTCCATTTGCTGGGTAAGTAAAGATATGAGGCTGGGAAAGTATGGGGTACGGGGACAGGCAGCTGCTTTTCCTTCTTTTTCAAAGTTTTATAAACAAATTCCAAATATTTCTAGTTAACACAGCTATAAATGTACTAACTCTATATTGAAACAATCTCCATCTAACACTTTCTCATTTCATATTCAGTTCTGGTTTCCCTCCTTTAAGATCCAAAGGAGGAGCCTTGTACAGAGGTGTAACTCCAAAAAAATGTAGTGGCTGAGGGCTCCACTTGACAACTGGCCAGGGATCTGCAGGAAGCTTGTAGGGAATATACTGCTAATGGAGCTATATCTCTAGGGGGGGCGTTGGGTTTGGTTTGGTTTTTTTTCTGTCCAGAGGATAGCAATTCATTCTTATTTACTTTAATGAAAGAAATAACTGGTTTATAAAACACTTTTATCAGGTGATAAAACGTTTTAATACTTGCTTACAGCCTGTATTTTGGACTATTTAGTATGAAATAGAGAAACAGGTTAAATCATACATAGTAACTAAATCATACATAGTAACAACAAGAAGCACCTCATGGACTTGGGAATCTATCACCTATTAGAACAATACAGTAGTCATCGTTCTTTGGATGTTTACAATGCTCAAGATTAGTCTTTCCAAAAAGCTCTTAAGTCCAAATAGCTATTAAACTGCATCTTTCAAAAAAAAAATTCTCATGTTGCAGGCCTGAAAGATTTTTCTTTAGCTTTCTAGGTCTGGTACTGCTTAAAAAAAATCATGTTTTGAGGTTTTCTCTTTTAACAGTGCTCTGGAGAAATGGTGGGAAAAGTAGCAGAAACAGTTTCAGTGGGGCAAGCACATACAATGTATGTGCATAGATGCTGGTAGAGCTTTAGAGTAGGCAGTAGCTTGGGGGTGGAGATGTCATTTTGCGTAGTTTCTTCAAGGAGAAGCTGTCAATCCATTCAACTGTGCCTAAACACTCTGTATCTTGTTCAGAATATTAGGAATAGCATGGACACCGATGAACTGCAAAAGAAGATTTTGGACCTGTCTAAAAATGCAGCAGAGCTTCAAGTAAGCATCTGGACTCTAGGAGGAATAAAAAGACAGCCTATAGTTTACTTGGGTCTAGTGAGGGGAATTTCTGCCTCTGTAAGACAGACAGCCCTGAGCCTGTCTATACTAAAGAACTTCAGTGCCATCATAGCTTGGACAGTGCAACAGCTTTGACTAAGGAAGTTGCTGTCTGGAGGCTAAAAACTGGGCTATTATAAACACTCCACGGTTTCATTCTTTCCTCTAAGTTAAAGTTTTGGGGAAACTTTTTCCCCATTATTTGAGAAAATACATTAGAAAGTCATGCTTTGACTGATGTTGCTGAAACTATTAGGCTGGATAGACAAGAGAAAACAAAGGTGACTGTGAAAGCTGAGAGTGCTTTTGCTTTTAACTGGATGCAAAGTTTGAACTTTGAAACACACCATGCAAGGTATTCAAAGAATAATTTGATTTTTTTATTTAGGCCAGGAATGTTGATACCCTTTTTACCCTCCAAGTAGGAGATAGGAACAGACTTGTATTATAGTGCATACTGATGATTATTTTTGATCTCTTCATTCTTTAGATCCAAGCACATATCTATGAGAGCACTGTGGTGAATAAAGAGGCAAGCTTGATCCAGGTTAGTTGCTTTTACTTCATTATGGTCTTTACTGAAAAAAAACCTGACTATGGGATGATTTGTAAAAAGGCAAGTCTTCACTGTGGCACTTTTATTTCTACTGTTCTCACACTACAGAACCTGATCCTATAAATGGCTTCAAAGTAGGCGAGATCTGCTTTAGGACCTGGTTATGAGTCAGCATAATTAAAGGTTTCAGGATTTTGCTTTTATTTAAAAAAGGAAAAAAAAAGAACCCACAACTTATTAAAACAAAGCAAACTTGCAAACTTCAGAAAAACGTATAGAAACTTCTAAAGGCTACTTCCCTCAACAGCTGGTAAAAGAATGTACCTGTAGAAGATCCTTACCTTCATGGCTTTTACTTAAATTACTTAATTTTTGTGCCCAACTAGAAATGGTGATTCAGAGCCTAATGGAAAAGCAAATCTGTGCTCTCTCACTACTGAGATGTAATTATCTAGGCCTTGCTGAAGAGTGAACATGTCTGATGCTGTTTTTAAACTTGTATTTTTTATTAGAAAGCAAAGACCTAAGACTACACAAGGGTGTTGGCATTCTCTGTATTCATTAATTATGCAAATACCTTTCTAGGCTAATGGAGTTTCTATTTAGCAGAGCATGTTCTAAATCAGCTGATGAAGTATTTTACTATTAGGCTGTCTGCAAATATAAGTGCAGTTGAAGTCAAATAGTGACGAGAGATCCTAACTTCAGTGTGATCCCGATAATAATGATTTTGTAGCTGAGTGTTTGGTGTTGTGGCGAGTTTTTTGGTTGGCTGTTTGGTTTGGTTTTGTGGTTGGGTTTTTGTTGTTGTTGCATTTGGGAGTGTTTTTGGGGGGGGTTGGTTTGGGGTTTTTTGTTTTGTTTTGGGTTGTTTTTTTTTTTTTTTCCAAAAGCAGCTTAAGGGCACAAATGAATTAAGGTTTTTGTTTGTTTGGGGTTTTTTAAAATAGCTTTCACTTTCTTCTTCTTGAATGATTCAAAGCTTTTGTGGCCTCCGTAGTATCCTTTTATTTTGAAAAGGCTTTTTTAGTCTATTGACTAGATAGGAATTTTGAAAACAGACAGCTAGATTGCATGTTTTTATAGATAAAGGTGACTGGTTTCTATAATCTTCAAGAAAGTGGTGTGGAACACCAACTATTGTTGTTGGCATTAGGAACTTTACCTGTAAGCTAAAAACCCCTCTCATAGCCCTTTTAGATAAAGGTAGACTGGATAGGATTGATGGCCGTTGAAAACTATTATGGTAACCTTTCTTTTCCAGGCCTGCATAAGGTATACGAAGATAGAAAGAAAAATGGTTAGGGTTTTGTTTATTTGTTTGGGGGGGTTGTTTTTGTGGTGTGTTTTTTAACCTTCAGCATGTAGTTGTCTCTGCCAAGGCTGGAAACCTGGTTCTATAACCTCACTTTTCCTGCTTAGCTTCCTATGTATTTCATCTCTTTCAAAACCTCAAGTATTTTTACAGAGGAGGAACATGAAGGAGTCATAAAAGGGGTGAGAGGACCGCAGCTCCTACTTGAAGTTCCTGTTTTCTCTAAGAAATGTTTTGCTTGTCTATGCAGTGCCTTCTATTGAATGGCACAATGTGACTGAAGCCCATTGATAGTTTGTGATGCTAAGCAAGCTGCTAATTCTACTAACTCCTTAGTCTTACCACGAGGGTTGGTATGTTCTCTATCAGCCCTTCTGTTAGGTGGTGTTTAATCCACAAAGCGCTACACACTGTCTTTAATCATGAAAATTACTGAGAATAAACTTGGAATGTTGCAACTTGTTTTAAGGGTCAGTTGGGATTAAAACTCATGGTAGGCATAATATAGTCCAGGTTTTCAGCTAAAACTAGAGTGTTTCTGTCTAGTTTTAATCTGCTACCACTGGTACAGAAACCAGGTAAGTAATAAATTAAAACACAGCACCTGGAAAGAGTTTTTCTGTGTCCTTAATTTCAGGAGTTACATAGAAAAGGTCTTCTGAGTGCTTTCAGTTAGCAAATATGCAAGGTAATTGACTATATTCTTTTAAATTTGTAAAGATTTTTATATTGCATAATTAAGTAGCTGCTCAAACCTAAATCATGCAGCTTGCTGCTGTGATGTAGGATTGAGTATAGTGTTGTTTTGATTACAAAGCATCATAGGTGTAAGTCTTGCAAATGCACTTCAATGTGCTAGTTGTCAGGTTGTGTACTTTAAAGGTTCTTTTCTCCACCATCCCTGCAGAAGGAGCAGGACATCAAAGAACTGAAGTTAACCATTGTGGAGTGTTCCTCAATCATAGAGGTATGGGATCAAGTTTAGTTTTTGACTATGTGAGGACAGAGCATGCATATCCTATGCTTATTCTTCATGACCAGGTCTGATATACGTTTTAGACTTTGCGGGCAGAAAAAAAGAAGTTACTGGAGAACATGCAACACATGCAGCAAGAGCTGATCTCGTGAGTATTGTGAACAAGTGCCAGGAAATACAGTTCATCAAATGTCAAAACGGGCCGATACATTTTTTTTTTCTTCTTCTTTTTCTTCTGCTTCTAGAAATGGGTTGAGTTTCCCATTGTTTTCTAAATTTAACAGTAATGTTCCTGAAGGGACGAATTCACTGCACTGTGAACTGGAACTTGCTCAGTCTTCAGAGGTATGAATCAAATCTTTATTGAATCTCATCCCAGTTGTCTTGCATCAGTAAAGGAAGAACAAAGCTCATTCCCTCTAGATCATTAATTAACCCTGGAATTTGAAGCCGTTAATCCTAGCACACAAGCATGGAATGTGAAGTTTACAATATTGTCCCAAGTACATTGGAGAAAGTCCAAAGAAAAGGAAAAAAAAAAACAACACTCAGATCTAAAAAAATGAGACCTACAAAGTAAATCTGGAAGAGCTAGGGTCATGCATTTAGCTGGCAGAAGAACAGACTGATAGAAGATACAAGTTTTCAAATATATAAAGGCTATTATGCTGAAGAGACTAACAGTCTGTTTCTTATTGTACTGCCTACATCAGACACAAACAATGATTTTTCAATTGCACAAAGGGAGATGTTTTTTTTCCTTGAGGTCGAATGAAATTTTCTTTTCCATTAAGTATTAGAATAAGCATCTTGACAAGGTTATACAGTTTTCATCTAATTTATTCTTTAGAAAGTCTGATAAGCATTTGTCTGTAGGTACCCTTTTCTTGCCCCTCAGCAGGTACAATGGAGACTGATCTTTTAGGAGTTGTGTCTAGCTGCCCCACTGTTGTTTTTTTTTGGTTTTTTTTTTGCCCACCCCCTCTTTTTTTTCTTGGCCTCCTGAGATCTTTGGGTAGTCACTCAGAGGAGGTCTGGCACAGACTGACAAAATCTTAGTACTGCAGTTGAGCCTGTTGGTTTGGAGTTGTAGCGTCCCCCATGTCCTCTGCAAAACACTCGGCAGGTGGTTTGGTAACTTTTGGGAACTACACTTTTGATCGGACATGCTTCACATAACACTAGAAGTTTGGTCTCTAATTTACTGTTCCCATAGCTTTCCAACACTCCAACGGAGAACTACTGGGGGGAAAAAAACCAAAACAATTTACATGTACATTATGGATTTGGTTCAGATTTTTATGTGAGCTATTCTATGCTCATTTCCCTAACAACATTCCTTTGAGTCCCATCCTTCCTTACAGTGCTCTCTCCCCTTCAGATGCAAGCTGTGCAGAGAGCTGATAACAGATGCTATTGCAGTCATTCTTCTTGTAAGACTTCACCATGATACTACTCGCTTTTGCATGCGGTGCATTTGCAAAGTGTATTGATAACAGAAGGAAAAAAAAATTCTACTAATGAACTAAAACTACAGGCCCAGAAATGAAAGGTATACTTGACTAGGCAGCTCTGTTCCAAAAGTAATGTATTGTCCCCTATTGCAACTCCTCACAGCCACAGTGAGTCACTGCAGTTTACCTCTCAAATGCTGTAATGAGACACAATTCTATCAAATCACCTATAAAGCAAGTAAGGGGTCTGTTGGTAAAGCCTCTTCTGAATAAAGATAACTAATTATTGACTTCCTCTTGCCTGCTCCTGATGTGAAAAACTTACATTAGATCACTCAGCAGCTTGGCTGGCTTGTTTTTTGTTTTTTTTTTTTCAAATCCCCATGACACGATGGTTTTGAAAACCTTTTACAAGCTTCAAGTTTCGGTAGCTCTGACCTTCTGGTAAATATAATGCAGGGATACTTCAGAAAAGTCTAAATGTCACTGATGCTGGTTTGTAATAAGGAGATGTCAAAATAAGCTAGCTGGCTCTTCTGTCTCTTCAAAGATTACCAAGACTGAATGGACATCCCTGGATGAAACACTGGACCGTGAAGTGCTGTTTTTACTTCAGGGACCTGAATATGCAGGAGAAAAATTTAAGACTATCATGCAAAACCTGGTCAGTGGCAGAGCTTACGTGTCTTCTATCAGCCTTTTAATTAGGATTTCTCCAAATATTGATAACCAGATCATGCTTAGTCCCTTTGAAAAAATAAGAATAGCTTCTTTGGGGATGGAGGGGGGGCATACTTACTCTAACAATATCACTTGGTACCTACTCTAACACTGTAACTTATAAACTGGGTAATTCTGGGCAGTGTTTTGTCAGACTAGTACTAGAAATGCCAGGGTTTGGATTTGGGGTTTTTTTGTTTGTTGTTTTTCAGCAAGCGGAAGCTTCTGAAGCAGAGGAGCTTGTCATGACTTCTTTACAATGGGTAAAAGATCCTGATGTGAACATGCAACAGGCTTGGGAAAGAAAACTTGTGGTAAGTAACAGTTTCCCTGAAGCTATTTTATGAAATAGTGGGGCTGTGCAAAAACTTAAGGTAGGTATCTTACTGCTGCATGCTATGTATATTAATTACTTGAGATCATAACAGTCCATTGGGGGGTCAGAGATGGCTGTATGGAGAGAAATTTATTTTGTGAATTTTTTGAGGAGGAAGGGGACTCTTGCTTTTCACTTAAATGCCGTGCTTCTCCTGACTGTATTGTGCAAGAACTTGCTTTGTTAAAACTATGCTTGAAGGAAAGGGAAGATGAAGCAAGTCGATTTGAAGAGGAAAATGAGGTCAGACGGCAATGCTGTATTGTGTGAGCCATGAAGCTTTTCTGCCCACTGCATGTTTTTGTCTGCCTTGAGTGCCCACGTTTCCCCCGTGCTCTGAATCTGACTACAGTAGTGGATAGTTTCACCATCAAGAGGAGGAGGGAGGTGGCTTTATAACCAGATTTCCAATCAAAACCTTCATGGGGTTCGCTTTCTTTTGAAAAGCAGAGAGTTGTGCTGGACAAGCTACACAGGAAGAGCTTCTACAAAACTGTATTTTACAACTTAATCTTGTATAATGTATTTTTACTATTCCTTGTACCTCTTGTGAGGCTTGAAAGTAGAGACTTTTGCTCAAGGTAACTGGCAAAAATAACTTCCCCATGTGGTAGCAGCAGTCTGTGGACACAGCTCAACTCTCTTGCTTTTGTTCCCTCCTCCCCTCTCATGTAACAGCAAGGTTTCTGAAATTTTCATCTTACTGGATATAGCTCTTTCTCTAACCTGCTCCTTCTTGCTGTATTTCTTGTTAAGAACACTTCTACAGAAAACACCAAACTATATATTAATGCCATCTTCCGGTTCCTTAATAGATGCAAACCCCTCATTTCATCCCACTTAGTTAATAGCAGGTGCCACCACAGTATGTGCTTCTTTAAGCTGTCACCTTTTAAACAGAAAGCTACCCTTCTTTTCCTCTAGTACTGTAAAATGTAGCTGGCCCTCTTCACATTTCCTGGGCAGGCAGGAGCAATCTTTGGAGCCATCCGGTCCTGGAGCCAGCTCTTTTATTTTTTTTCTCTTTTATGTAAATCCTGAAAACTTCCCCTTGGAGAAAGTGCAAATGTCTCAGTCTCTTCACCCTGATGTGACTTTGGGTAGACTCTAGGAAACTGCTGGCTCATGCACTGCTGTAACTATTTGATCTTGATTAAAACTTCCTCCTTCAAAGCTGTCAAAGCTGAAAAATGCTTGTTAATTTGCCGTTCATGTTGGGATTATATTCGTGTTAAAAATGTGAAGTTAAAAACTTTTGGTGTGGGTGTTATAAATGATCATGGCAAATAAATCCTATTCTGGCTCCTAGAGAGAGATGCGTTTGTAAACTAAGGCAATGGAGGATCAAGGAAGAAAGATTCTTTAAAAATAAAAGGTTCCATCATTCTGGGACCTGTGGAGATGAGAAGTGACTTCATGTCAAACATACTGTCTTTGCCTAGCTAGAACAAGGAAATTATGTGGGAAATATGGTATATGGAGCTGAACAACAGTAGATTCCCCCCTCCCCCCCCCCAAAAAAAAAGATATAAAATATTTTCTTCCAGCCTTACAGAAAAATTTTGTAGAAAAAACAATTAAATCTTGGACCATGCACTATCACTTGAAGCCTAACCACTTCCCCACCATTGCCTGTGAAATGTGTTATGGACATGTTTTGCTGGGTTTTAGTATTTTAAATTATGTTTTAAAGTATATTTATACACGAAGTAAATTTTAAATGTGCCTGTATTTAAGCATATATGGATTGTGACAGTAAAAACTTTTTCACCCTTCTCCCGGTGGAAGATAAGACTGTGGCACATGTGCCCTGATAAGCCTGTACCACTTATGTGTCAAAATCATGTTATTTCTAAGAGCAAGTGCTGCCTGCTTTGGCTGAGAAACTGATCTTCAGGATGTGGGCATTTGTACATAGTCACATCCCATGTCATCCTAGTAAACCTATCTAGCAAAACTGCTCAGGCTCTCTTCAATTTGTTTTTTGCAGCGTGATACTTGATGTGCTATGCTTTTTTGTTTGTTTGTTTGAAGCTCACGAACAGCATTATACTAACTTGCAATTAGGTAATGTGGCCCATGTTTGTAGGACTGATGTTTTTCCCCTTTGAACTAATGTAAAATCCCAGAAATGTCATTCTTACCTGATCACGTTTGACTCTCATTAAGCATTGTTTAAAATATGAGGAGTCTTTTTTTTTTTTTTTTATGTTCAGCTGAACAAGGTCAGAGAAAGAAGAATGCATTCTTCTTTCTCAGGACTTCATACTGCAAGTCACTGTTCAGAGAAATACAAAGGATGCAGTGTTACTTAATACTTCATTTTTACCATCTTCCCTTTTTCCTTCATACAAATTAGAGGTAAAACTGAAAACCTTTATCACAGGGTTCACCCTTGGACAGATTTCAGTTTTTCCTACGTGCCTAGCAGATGAAATATGGATTTATTGTTTTTTTTTTAAAATTATTTTTCTGTAATACAGACTCAAATTGGTGCCAACAGACTTAGTTGTACTTTGAAGAAAGGGTCATGGAGGTCTAAATTATCAATTTTAGAGCTTCCTGCAAGCTGGGCGTTATTAAAACTTCCCCTTATGAGACGTGGTTTTTGTTGCTGTATCTGGGAATCTTGTGACGGAGGTTTTCTGGGGTAAGTTGTAAAGAGTCCCTCCTGCACCTGTAGTCTTCTGCCACACTTCCCATAAATACTTGCTAACTGTATATTTGTTTTATGAGGGATAAAGAGGAAGAGGACAATCTGTGTACCCTAGCTCTACACAGAAAGAAAGGCTAAGAGTAGCTTTTGGCTTAGAAGTAACCTTGTGAAAAAAGCGGGGAGCCATTTATCAAATTGAACTAGCATACGGAAGGCTTACGTTTTCTTGCATAAACTGTTATGCATTGCTCCATCTTAAAATCTTGAAGTACTAACACCCAACAGGAGTCGAGCCTGTCTCTCCCCACATCCCATCAGATTCACAGGTTTGAAGTTTAGGAGTAAGAAGACACTGGTTTGAAGTTTAGGTAGCTTTGTTAACCAATTGGACTGCACAAAACACTGTTTTGTACAAAACAGACACCCATTTGTCCTTTATAATATCTTTCTTATTAAACTGTATTCTTCCTCATTTTTTTCTCTCTCTCTCCCCAACCTGATGCTGTGTGAGTAAATTACAAAATATTGTCAATCATTCACCTTCTTTATTGCTGATAGTGTTAGATGTAGGTGATACTAAATGGTGGAGCAGGGAAATCAGTTCTCCTTGTGTAAATTAGGGCTCTGGTTTACTCTCTGGCTCTGCCCCTCATCTAACCACACAGCAAAATTCTACAGGTTCTCAAGCAAGAACTAGGAGAAAAAAGACACCTTTGGATGCAGAAACTTCATCTCTTGGAAAAGTACAAAGAATCCCTAGATAAGGATTTTATTCGAATGGCAGGCAACCTGAGGAGAACCAAGACAGAACAACTTCACCTAAGGAAGGAGCTCTCTGCCAGGTACCCCTTCAAAGTGTGTGTGTGTGTCTTTTTTTTTTTTTTCTTTTTTTTCCTTTTTTTTTCTTCTTTGTTTTTGTTGGTTGCTTAGCTGTTTGGTGGGGGGTTTTGCTTTGGTTTTGGGTTGGGGTTTTTGTCTTGTGGAACAAAGTTTACTGAATTTGGAAGACTTTTTTTCACGGAGGAAACTACCTGCTGTTTCGGAGAGTGGATCTGGTTATAGTATGATTTTTACACCATGTGGGAGTTAAGATTTGTGTATGAAGTAACATATGATCTTGGAGATGTCTTTGAAAATACCAGGGAGACCACACACTGAGCAGTTAAAGCAAGAGGGCACTACCTATCTAGCAGGTGCAACCATTAAATAAATTGCTGGTTTTGTGTGAAGCAAAAGACCTGTAAAATATATGCCTGCAGGTATTATTGCTTTGGGAGACAATTGCTAGCCCCAGGTGATATAATGTCTCAGCTTTTCAAGGATATAGCTTCAATGAGTTATCTCATTAAATATGAAAATGTAACTGTAAATATTAGTGTATTGGCCCATGGTTCCTGCTATGAGTTTTTATGTTACAAATATGGCAGCAAAAGGCAGCAGATGTAAACCTCTGCCGGCCCCCCCTCTTCTCCTCAGACATTCAGGAAAGTAGCTAGTCAAGTTTTTTTTGGTGGGTTTGGTTTGTGGGTTTTTTTTTTTTCCAGAACAGTTATTCTCAATTTGTCTTTGTGGAACCCCAGCTTACTCATAGTGTTAGCCTTCTGCTATCCTACACTAAATGTAAATTTTTGCACATGTGCCTTTACCTGGGTTTGGGGCGTAAGCAACTTCCTAGGGCTTTGCATCCCTGTGAGCTAATGTGGAGCAGTCATACTGCACTTCTGCCTGAGTTCTCCTCCACTTAACGTTGTTAACGTAGACCTCCCACATGCTCTCCCTTCACTTGGAAAAGAGCTGATAAAAATACTGATGGCTTGGTTTCTTAAAGCTGCCTCTCTGCATTAAAATTGTTTGTGTTGGTAGCAACAAGGAAAAAAAAAAAAGAGGTGAGTTAAAGAAGAAACGGGCAAAGAGTTTCTGTAATGGAAAAATGGAAAAGAAGGGGTTTCTTGAAAACCATAATCTTTAGCACTGGTTCTGATGGCATCTGCTTGCTGTCAAGTGAAATACCCTGGAGGTAGTACTGCAGATACATAATTTCATCAGATTAATTTCCCAGTATTTCAGAGGTTATCTTTTCTAGAATGATTGAGACTATGATTGCATTGTCTTATGGTTTGGGAGAAATAGTATTCTTTTGACCAAATTGCAAAAGTTTGCCCCACGAAGCTCTTGCTCCGAGTTCTCTGTGTATTCCACAAGTTTCTGCTATGCTACACAGCTGGCTGGGGCTAGCACAGCCATTGCACCATTCAGCTGGGTAGAAACCAGGGAAAATCTCCATCCCCTTCCTAATTCTGAAGCTGCTATAGAAGAGCCTTGTCTGCCTACTGGGTTGAAATGTGCTTAGCAAGAACGAAGTCCCTGGTGCTGGATCCTGGGGAGCTGCAATATGTAATAGCTGAATGTGGGTCTTGATGCACGTCTTGACAACTAACGTGTCATCTCCCGGGCATGCCTGCTCTAAAATGTCAGTAACGGATTGTGGTTTGTGCTTTCTCACTCTGCAGGCAACGTGAGATAGAAACTGCCAAACAGTTACAAGAAGAAACTGCTGGCTGGGCAGAAGCCCTTGGTTTAGAGCTGCAAAAAGCTACAAAGCAGCTTGAAGATGCCAGCAAACAGGTAAGGGACAGTCCACATAGGAAACAAGCAAGCAGATGCAAAAGGCTATGTACAATGCATCGCTGCTTTTGGGAAAGGAAATCGCATGTTCGGAATGGAGTGCTTCATTACAAAGTGGAACCAGCAGAGGAAGTAAAACTTGAGGGGGTGGTGACAACAGTTTGCTGATGAAAGAGACAGCATTGCATATTTGTGGTGGCTTAAAAAAAAAAACAAAACAGAAAAGAGAAAAAAAAACCCACCAAAAATAGCTTCCATACAGAGTCCACCCCAATGTAAAAATGCAGAAGTTCAGAGGGAGCTTTATCACTTCCTGAGAAAGAACAGATGCAGTTTGGTTTCATTTACATGAACTGTAGAGACTCCTTGTGTTAGCCAGGCTGCTTTAATTTTTTTTTCATTCCCTTCTTTTTTCTCAAACATTGTTTTGTGCTTAGGCAGAGGATCAAGTTGAAGCCTTTCACTCTGCTTGCGAGGAAGCCGCATCCTTTAAATGCAAGTTAGAGGAAGCCATTTCTGAGCAGCAAAAACTCAAGCATGTGAATGCAGCTTTAACAAGCACTTGCCAGTTGCTTCAAGAAAAGGTGGAAGACCAGAAAAGTGAGTAACTACTGGCAGCGTGCCAGCATTCACTCTCGCACGGGCAAATCCTTTACGGTTTAGTTATGGCGAGGGGGAATAGGGCTAATCTGCAGGTCATCCGGTAAAATGCTCTCTGGAGGGTGTTTTGCTTTGGGTTTTTTTCTTTCTATTTTTCCTTCTTCTTTAAGAGATCTGCAACTATGGCATCTGGGCTGAGAACCAGGTGGGATCCCAACGAGTGGGTGTTGGGCTGGACCAAAGCTGCAGAACCTCCTAACAAAATCTCCAGTCCTAGGAGGAAGGGTTAGTAACTCCGTGGGTGGCACGGGCACTCCTTTACCAAAGGTGCTGTTCCCACACCTGAATAGCCCACCTCTTTCCTACCAAAGTCAACCCTCTTTCTTAAGCTTGCTGTACCAAATAGATCTTATTTTTATGTTCTGCGTTCCGCTTGCTGCTTGTACGTGCTTTATGTTTTTGAGTAACTGCGTGGTATTAGGCTGTTCTCCTTAGTAGAAAGCAATCGTGTCCCTGCATCGTAGCACAAGCTGCATGTGTACGGAACCATGGAAACTTCATACTCTCTCTTGCTTACCTGCTAACATCAACACCCCAGAAGCTTGGGCAATTAAAGAATGCAGTGGCTTGATTCCAGCACATGTGGCTTTTTGTTTCCAAATTCTGGAGCACGTATCAGTTGCTTATAGGAAAAAATTTTGACTGACTTAAGCCCACCGAACACTTTGGCCTCAGCCATGTGTTTCCCAGGGCACTGTGACTGACGCACAACATACATGTGTGTTGTAAACAACTTTATGTGAAACTACAATTTGTCTTTTAAGAAAAATTATGTGGGACCCTGTGCCTTAGCTGTAAGGCACACCTGTTACACATTCATGTGGCAGAAACAGCAGCAGACTGTGCTTGCTGACTTCTGACCAGTATTTCGGCGTTGTTCGTGTGTATGTGCTCATGTTGCTTTCATGCTTACTGCTTCCTTCACGCTGTGGAGTTGGTTTTTTTAGCATAGAGGCATAACGGTGGAAATAGTGTGTCATTTTCCAGCTCTGAATAGGCAAAGCTCTTTTGCAAAGTGGGCTAGAGTAAATAAAAAGAGAGAGAACCCCAGATATGTGGAAGGATTGGGGGGGGGGGGGGGGGGAA